TGATCCACCCGCCTCGGCCTCCCAAAGTGCTGGGATTACAGGCTTGAGCCACCGCGCCCGGCAGGTAAGAGCATTTTAAAAAGAAAAAAAAGGAAAACAAAAGAGCCATCGACACCTTCGAGCCACTTTACAAGGATAATAGCATCGCCCTCCTCTCCGCCCCTCACCAACATGGCCGCCCCCAGGGGGATAAGCCGGTCTGAGGGGCGGAAGTGACGCACAGCGGAAGTCCGTCCCGCCTGTCGGCCAAGGGTCCCCGAGCTCAGCGGCTGCTCTAGTCTGCGGGCTGCGAGGTGCGGGATGTTGCAGGCCGGGCGGCTCCGGGGCGACGCGGCGTTGGCGCTGCTGCTGGCGGCCCGAGTGGTGGCGGCGTTCGAGCCCATCACCGTGGGTCTCGCCATCGGGGCCGCGTCGATCATCACCAGCTACCTGACCTACGATGACATCTACTGCCGCTTCGCCGAGTGCTGCCGCGAGGAGCGGCCGCTCAACGCTTCGGGTACTGCGCGCGCGCGAGCGGCGGGTCGGCGCTGCTGGGGGCGCCGGGGCCTCTGTGACCCCTGGCGGGGCGCTGGCGCGCGGAGGGACGGGCCGCGCGGCCTCTAGACGGCGGTAGTCCCAGCCGGGGTGGGCGGGGAGCGGAGGCGGCGGCCCTGGAAACCGTTCGACCGTTCGCGGAAACGCGGTCCGGACTCCAGCCCTGGAAGCAGTGCCTTCGCAGACCGCCTCCAGATCGTGCGCCTCTGCCCAGCGCCTTTCTGAAGTTCCCGTTCCTGGGGATCACAGGCTGAAGAAACGGAAAGTTCCGTGGCCAGCCCTTCTGCGCCCTGCCCACCCTATCAGGTGGCTTTCAGACGTGCGGCGTCGCCCACAAAGCCCACATTGGGCCCCCGGTTTTCCTTCAGGCCAGCAGGGATGGCTGGGAATAGAAAGCTCTCAGTCGAGCGATGGTTCATATCTGGATGGATGAGCATTTAGCCTCCCTATCCGACGCCGAAGCGTTAAGGACCTCCACGTAATGCATTTCCTTGAAAGTGGCATGAGTGCCTCAGTGTCGTGCTGGCCCTAGGGTTTGGCAGACACCCTGCTGGGTCCCTGGATAATCTGTGCTTCTCGCTTTGACCAGCTGGGATAGTGCTGCGTTGCTGATGCATTTGTTTTTTGTTTTTTGTTTTTTTTTCTTTTGAGACGGAGTTTCGCTCTTGTTACCCAGGCTGGAGTGCAATGGCGCGATCTCGGCTCACCGCAACCTCCGTCTCCTGGGTTCAGGCAATTCTCCTGCCTCAGCCTCCT